TCTAATCCCAGTGGTAACAAAACACAAGTGACCTATCAGAATTTTGGCGCACTCCTAGTTTGCCACCATATGGCCGAATTTGTTATCAAATGCTGCTTCCAGAAGTTTGTAAAAAAACTCCTGGGGGACTTCACAACTGCTTCGCTGCTCAAAGATATTACTTTTTGAAATGAGCCAACTTTTTGGAGGTGACCAAAATGACCTTCCTTTGGTATTGACTTTCTTCGAGGGGTTACTGTAACTGGTAACAAAGGCAATTCGGTAAGCGAGTTTGTCAACATCCAATTACGGACGTTGACCGAAACTATAAAAGGATATATGGCATAGTTGATGAGAAATCCAGCAACACATAAGTACCATCACAATGATGGGCGGTCCTGGTGAGGGAATAGGCCGCATTTTGGTGCCGTATATCCTCGACCCCATAAATGAAAAGGGTCAGAAAGCGTATTTGTACAAACAAATGGATGATAAAAGGATATAGTGCTGTGGTAACGAGTGGCCCTAGAAGGGGATTAAACTATATTCGCTCCCAGATGTTCATCATATGCTCTTCGAAACGATCTCAATTGTCGAGGGCTCTCTAACATCTCTGATCCTGCATTTTTACCTTTCGTAGTCACGTGCTGCTCGGCATTTCAGTGTATTCTCACTACCTCTGGTTTTTTTCCTGGTTTTTCTTATGTACGAGCTCAAAAAATGACAATGTCGAAAAACAAATTAGTCAGTGCACCAATTCTGCTTTTTCAAATGCTATATTCTTTGATAAGAATGCGGATGTTGCATTGGCTGTTCCCGCAAACATTATTACATGCTTCAACTTCATAGCAATGACAACCAGAGTTATGCGCGTACAAAACATAGTTCAATAAGCGAAAGTATGCAGCTGAATTTTAATTTCTGCAATAGATACAGATTTTCATATTACCTAATTAACTTGCTCTTAAGATGAAGCGTCAGTCGTAGTCTCCAAGGCCAGTGCACTCCAGAAGTCCAACAGGGCTGCCGTAAAACCTTATAACTTACGGATCCTCCTATGATGTGTGGATGCGCAAGGATTACCTTTGAATAATGATGAAACAGTTTAAGTGTTGTCAAACTTGTGTTGAGTTGAAACAACATATGAGTATCCCCACACTTCCCAAAGAAGAAAGTGCATGGTCGATTCATATATCGGCGTAGCACCCAAGATTTTGGATTATCATTCCTTGCGGACTCCCTCAAGTTAGCTGCCGGTCTCTCTCCAAACAAGCCGTGTAATTTTTTCGCATAAGTAGAGCTGCTTATTTATTAGTTTGTTTTACTCCTCGTTTGGGCTTTGTCGGATTCTTACGACTTCTTACTCCTTCTTTCTCTATAGTGATGGTACAGAACATGATCTGATGCATTCGAACCGTGGTTTTCAACACTGGCGAATTTCGAATGGAGAATTAATTAGGTGGCAGGATAATGATCAGCCGCATATTTTACAAGAACTACTTCTTTTTCGGTAAATTATGTTCGTATCATTTGATCAGATCAGTCTACTCACTTATGTTAACCTAATATATAATTGAAATGTAATAAGATGAAGATATAAAAACGATCAATAAAATCACGGTTTCATCAAGATGGCAGGAAAAAATAGGTTATACAGCTCCCAAAAAACCGAGTGCTTAAAAAATCACCTTGGCCTTCGATACTCCGCAGTTTTTCAACCTTTCCCAGCACCAGTCGTAAATACACGTTACAATGGTATAAATTTAACCTTATGTCACTCAGGCCGCTGGCAAATGGTATGGATTCTTCGTGTTTTGTTAGCACACTGCTGTTCCGGTTCCCCTGTTGTATCCAGTGCGTACTTCGACTGGTTGTTTATAGCATGAACAGTTCGCTGCCAGCTCCATGTGTCTGTTCAGCACTGTTTACTTTTGCCGTCGTTGTCGCTGAGGGCCACCTGTAGGGGAAAGTTAGTCTTGTGTATGGTCATGAAGGAACTCAAGCCGCTACCCACCTGGCCACAAGCCGTGTGACCGAGGTCATTCCCCTCGGTTCGGACGTACCTAAGGTCGTCCCATGCTGCGCGTCGTTCCCTACTGGCCCGTTTGTTTTCCAACCTGACACTGGTGCAGTTCGCGCAAATTTTAGGTGTAACGATACATGGTACTGCATACGCTGGAAATGTGACATTTTGCTTCGCGGTACTCGGTTGCAGTATTTCTGTCCATTCTGTAGGTTTACGTTCATTCGTAAGCGTCCAGTTGTTTCCTCCCAATATTCTGTTGGCTCTCACAGATCATTTCCGTCCTCTGCTCCATCTGCATACGGTTTTCTTTATCCGCCAAATTCACCTAAATTATTGAGCCACTAACTCGGTTGCCACTCCAAACGGTCACAATGAAGGATACAACCGTGTCCTTCAGACCCACAAATTATTACACTTTGCTTTTATTGACCGTATGTCCGTTCTTATACTGTACCTAAAGGGACATGTTTTAGAGCTGGGCCTGTGCTTCCCACATGCTGTTTTCCACAGTCCTGTTGACTGTGGCTGCCCAATGTCTCAACTACAGATTTGACCCCACCGACCTCCTTCCTAGCTTCGGATCTGTGTGAGGTTCAGTGACAGTGAAATCCGGCACTGGGGACTCTATCATACTGTCCCATGTTATACGGTCAACTGTGTGGAAAATTGAATACATCTAACCGTCCATCGCGTTGGTGTTTCTCTCACTCTGGTTCACTGCCTTATTCATGCCTTAGGACGAAGTTTGGCTACCACCTTGTGACCATGGATAACAACCAATTGACAGCTTACAGTGTTATGCCCAGGCACGTGCTTATTATGATCAATCCACAGTAAAGGGAGATCTGCGTCGAACCGACGGGCTGCTTGTTAGTTGATTTTCTGTTTAATAGCAATTGATACGCCATTGCCCTCTAGCGGAAATCCATTTAGTCTAGTGTCGATGGCCTTGTTATTAATGTGGGCGTCAGAAATATACATTCAAAAGGAAATTCTGGATATCACTGCAAAGTTTACAAATATCTTCTTCCGTCAGATTTGGAGAGTCATCCAGGTTTCCCAGCACACAACGATCATATTAACTTGGGATTCAAATCTTTTCCAAAGGGTAGATGAGGTTTTTGTCAAGGTAACATTGTCTCTCTTATTAGGCGGAAAATTTTCGTTTCATTGATGGAGCACATCTTAAATTTTAGAACTCTGAAATGCTCATGCACTAATCTGGAAAATTGCAAGATAAATAGCAGCTTGAGTGTGTTGTATTCTTTTTCAAATGGCCATCAGTTCCTTTCCACAGAATCTAACGATTCCTGGGACTTTCTATAGAGGAGAATGTCGGTAGCTCAGGTAGCGTAGATGGTCGTTGGCTTGTTCTCTGAGCTGGGCAATTAAGTTGCAAACGTTTCATCACCAATCGAGATGATTGTGCACAACCACTAACCCACCGCTACGCACAACTACGCACTGATGATGTCACCTCGATTGGTGATGAAACGTTTGCAACCAAATTGCCCAGCTCAGCGAACAAGCCAACGACCATTTCTGGGACTGATGTGAAGGGCTCTGTCAAGAGACAAGAAATATTTCACTGAAATGCCACCTTTTTAAAAGACGTGGAAAGTTGTGGGAACAGCGTCCGCTTTGCTTCCATTTAGTTCGATATGTCGCTTGAGTCGCTTGACTCCGCTAAAACTGATGTGAGGCAGTCGAGCAAATAAGACGTAAGAAGTGAGCCGTTGTATCATCCAGGCATTCCTTTACTCTCGACTAGATCAGGGTGGATGAAAAAACGTGACCCCATTCCTTTTTTAAAATCTTTTTCGAACTGACGTTTATGGTGAACCGTCAGCAGTGCTTCCGCAATATTAAGAAAATATCGTTTGAGTCATCCAACCTTGGAATGACCGGGGAACGGTGTCCGTCCTTATCGGGTCGAGAAGCTGACATACATAGCGGGAATGGTTCCAAAGACCAACCAGCTGCAGACCGAATGCCCCATCCGCAAAGGAAAAAGTGATAGCGTTGGGTATTCACTCAAGGATCAGAATACTCTCCATTTGGTTCAAAATACCCCATTCCTTCACCCGTACCCAAAGGTCCTAGCTAGTAAGGAATTTTCAAAAATTATGTAATGGTTTACGCACACGTTTGGGAGAAAAGCTAGTCACCTCGACATAGGCTGAAAAAGTCCCCCAATTGATTCCGCCGATTACTCTCCCCCTCAGCAGGTCACCTAAGCGCAGCTTTTTTGTCAAAAAACAGTAATCATCTCTTACACAATCGAATGGAAGTCCCCCTACCTTTTTTATGCAAGTAACTAGTTGTACTAGTTGTGTATCAGCTTTTCAGTAGTAAAAATTCAGCAGATATATCTCAAACCCTAAATACCCAGCGTATCTACAGGTCATTAAAGTCCAGTACTGAAATAACCGAGTTCCCTCGTAGTTAATGCAATACAGATGTCTAGTGCAATTTCAAGTACGTGTATCAAGTGGTACTTCCGAATCACCTGTGCATGTAATACCATAGGTGCGCCTGATTTTGATAGCAAAATTCATAAACGGTCAGAAACTTCGAGTATGGACTACCTGGGCCCAAAACCATTTGAAAGACAAAAGGTTTAGAGAAGTTAAGTATAAAATCTTGCAGGATTCAGCGCTTTTATGACCCTTCTGCCTGGAATACCTGCCGCTACTCAACGTCAACCGAAACTAGTAGCATAAAAACGTCCTATAGACAGTTTCGTCCAGCTCTACTTTTTCCCCAGGTTTGGAGACAGAGACACCACCAAGTAGTTTGGTGTATGATCGAATTCATTTTGAACAGCAATAATGAGCTTACCCATGTTTGGAGTAGTGTCCACCTAAGTTGAAAATACTGTCACAGAATGGTGGTGTTGTAACATTTCTCCCAAACGGACGATGTCAACGTACAATATATCCTCAGAAACTCATTCAGCTGTATTGTATTGTCACACGGTTTAAGCCACAAGTGCTCAATACATCTGAATCGGGGACAATATTGGCTCAACGTCATCCAAGTGATGGGAACGTTCAACCGCTTCCTCCCAAGGGTAACGGAGCATTTGTTTCCTGTCCAAGTCTTCGACCTTGACGAGGTTTCCAAAGTCTCCGGATGCCGGACCATTCTGTTCTGGAGGTATTCTCTCATATTCATCTGGGATGGTCGCTATGTGCTGCACGGTTTTTCTTATGGGTGGCACAAACATCGCATACACATCGGTTTCGTAACTGGGATTTAGATGATTTTCAGATTCGAAGACATTCGGTAAAGCTCTCTTTTGGTTTGCCGGAGGCAAGTTTGCCCGATATAGGCCATCTACAATATTGCCTGATATCACAACAAGCAGCAGGACACAGAGGTAACAATTATCCATTCCGATGAAGGACTATACCAACTACCAGAATCTTAATCAGTCCAGTACGTCCAAGTAAGTATCCATCACATGTTAGACCAGTCGAAATTGGTTGGTCATTTTAAAATGGGTGAGCATCATTCAGCCCCAAGCGGTCTGGGCCAACACTGTAAATCGATATGATCCATCTAACCAAACGCCATTAGTGCCCAGGTTTTAACGAACAGTATTTTCAATTTGGAACAAAAATCGAGAAGAGTTACTGGTCGCTTTCAGTCAACGAGATTTTATTCCGTGCCACCAATTTACATTTATTACTGCAGGCAAACGTGAGGGCAAGAACAGAAGTATAAACCGATAAGCTGTCTTCTTTCGGGCTGGAATAATCTCAGTTGTAACCTAAGCACACACTGAATTTTATGGTTTCGTCTCAGAAGGATTGGCGAGTGTTAATTGAACAACGTTTTGCTTTTGACACAAAAGCTTCACCAGGCTGAATGCGAGGTCATCAAATTTGCCAGTTTTTAGCGCAGACGAAGAACCACTTAGCAAAACCTCCTCCGAGTAGCACGTTAGATCATTGTTGGGTGTCAGTTAAAGGGTCTTGTCAGTTAGTGTTGTTGCCTAAACCTCACAGCTGGTGGGTTGAGAGAATCTCAACTTATTTTTTATTGAGTTTGTTTCTTTGATCTTCCGGTTTGGTATGTGACTAATTCCGAATGGCGAGGTTAGAGGCAAACCACCACGTATTCAATAAAAGATGCTTGGAGTATGACTTAATCCCCGTATATTTAGTGGTTAGGCCACCTGACACGTCGCCTGCTTCTGCTCGAATAGCACTCTCAGCGGTCAAGTCAATCCTCAAACAGAGGCTCTACTCGACTACTCGGTGCCTATCTGATGTCAGTCACGATGCATGTGGGCTCAACGAAGATCTTCAGACCGTACACCTTCCCGCGAATTTCCAGTTACGCAAAACCTAAGCCACAGAAGTGAAGGTCATCTAAGGAAAACAAATATGTAAGTTCAAAAATTCGTTTTCTAACACTCGGATTTCTAGTAGGCTCATAACGATGCGTGAGCCGCCTAGTGGCTGTAGCGTGGCAAATTTATCAAAGCAACCGCTAAGTGAGGAAGAACGGTGTCTGTTAGAGAAGTGCTCGAATTTTGTGGCAAGCAAATGGGTAACAGGGGCGGAATGAATTATCCCCGGCGCTGTTTCTGTGTTCCAAAACTTCCGCCAATGGAGGCAGAGAAGCTATGGGTGCTGCTGGTCACAGTCTCAGCAGCCCCATGTTCCAAATATTACACACTGAAACAGGTGAACAACATAGTGATTGCAAAGGCGGAAGAGGGTTAGGCCATTGCTGTCATGAAAAAGAGTTGATTATCTACAAATGTTTCAACACCCGAATCTTGTAGAACTGTATTGTTTCTTTCACATCTGAGACACTTATGAAATCATCCACTCCTTTCACCATAAATCTCTTACTTATCGATGGAATGAACTAAGTTTTGGTTATCAAGTAGGATTCGTTGTTAGAAGTTTGGAAGTAATACACTACTCATAAGGTTGCTGGAAACTCTCCGACAGCCCGCGACCAGTTTCGCCCCTCCTGGGGCTCATCAGATAGGTTCAGTTCCCGGGTATCTGTCACCCTCACGACTTATTTGAACCCAAATATCTTACCAAATGAAACATGAGGCAGTCGGTTGTAGCATATTCAGTTGATTTAGAACAGCATAAACAACAGATTCAGCTGAATATGCCGTCAAAACCAAATTTGTATGCAGATGAGTGTATAAGTCATTGCTTTTCGTAATGTTTTCTACTTGAACTTCCACCGAATTGCGGTTTAGAAGGTTATTCACCTAGTAGCTCGCTGTTTTCAGATGACTATATAATCATATGTAAGACAGAAGATTTTATTGTTTACTTACTCGGCTATCTGTGCTTGAATGATTTGCCTCAATGAAGGGTAAAGGAACCTGTAGATTTATCAGAAGCCTATCTGTTTACGTGTTCCAGACATGTAGGCTTGTTCTGCGCAGCCACTTTGACACCGCATACTCGGACAACCAACTAACCACTCATTGACTTGAACTAGGCTTCTTACAAAGTGTACAGACTACTCTGTGTTAGAAGTTCTGGTTCAAGAAGTGAGCTAATCCGGGTTTTGAGAAACGACAGCTTGGTTCAGTCCTGGCTGGGAATAAATTGCACTTTTATACTAACTCAAATGGACACTATACTGACAACATATCAATACAGACGCCCCCATCTCCACAACAGATATAGCAATAGCTGCGAATCTTCAGTTGAGTATCACCACAGTTCGGCATCCAAAACTGAACTAGCTTGCCACGGTATTGTTTTGAACACCTGGTAAAGGTATCCATATATTCCTCCTGACGTCCATCATCAAGATAGCTTAGAATGTGCGTAAATCAAGGTAAATCAAGGTAAATCAAGGTAAATCAAGGTAAATCAAGGTAAATCAAGGTAAATCAAGGTAAATCAAGGTAAATCAAGGTAAATCAAGGTAAATCAAGGTAAATCAAGGTAAATCAAGGTAAATCAAGGTAAATCAAGGTAAATCAAGGTAAATCAAGGTAAATCAAGGTAAATCAAGGTAAATCAAGGTAAATCAAGGTAAATCAAGGTAAATCAAGGTAAATCAAGGTAAATCAAGGTAAATCAAGGTAAATCAAGGTAAATCAAGGTAAATCAAGGTAAATCAAGGTAAATCAAGGTAAATCAAGGTAAATCAAGGTAAATCAAGGTAAATCAAGGTAAATCAAGGTAAATCAAGGTAAATCAAGGTAAATCAAGGTAAATCAAGGTAAATCAAGGTAAATCAAGGTAAATCAAGGTAAATCAAGGTAAATCAAGGTAAATCAAGGTAAATCAAGGTAAATCAAGGTAAATCAAGGTAAATCAAGGTAAATCAAGGTAAATCAAGGTAAATCAAGGTAAATCAAGGTAAATCAAGGTAAATCAAGGTAAATCAAGGTAAATCAAGGTAAATCAAGGTAAATCAAGGTAAATCAAGGTAAATCAAGGTAAATCAAGGTAAATCAAGGTAAATCAAGGTAAATCAAGGTAAATCAAGGTAAATCAAGGTAAATCAAGGTAAATCAAGGTAAATCAAGGTAAATCAAGGTAAATCAAGGTAAATCAAGGTAAATCAAGGTTATATTGGTCTAAAAAGCATTTTGCTTTACAATGACCAAAGGATATTGGTGTGTGTGTATGTATACAGATAAACGGAATGATATGACATATATGTTCTATTGTTTGTAATCTGCATCTCAAATGTTGATGAGGGAAGTTGGGTGAGATCTTATGTATTCGTCAAGCGAATGCTTGAAAGTCTCGAGGTTATCACAATCCACAACAGATGTTGGTAGTTTGTTCCACGTGAGGGATACGCGGACTGAAAAAAAGTAGCGCGGACAGTTAATGCGGGAACATGGAATGTCAACGGCCAATGGATTCCGTCGGGTCTGTCGGGCCAAATTAACTGTGAACAAATGTTTTAAAGGGTGATTAGGGGTGTTTATTATCTTGAACATCAGGATGAGGTCTCCTCGTATACGCCGATAAGTTAAATCAAACAAATCGAGTTTACGTAGCCTTTCACTGTAGGGAACGTTTCGGAGGCCAATGACCAGCTCGGTCTCTTGGTGGTAGATACGCTCTAGCAGTTGTGTATCCTTTTGCAGCCATGGAGACCAGGTTTGGATCGCGTATTCCATTGTCGGCCGGAGATATGTGTTCATGATAATAGGGAGAATTTCAGGCGTAAAACGATAAAATATTCTCCTAAGCATCCCGAGCAGTGCCGAGGTCTTGCGATATACTGATAGACATACTCTGGCGAAGAAAGTCCTCAGTGATAAGCGGCCACCTCGATGGACACAATCCAGGCCTGCATTGCTCCCAGCTTAATCATCATCGCCCATATGTGGGCATCATACCAAGGAATTGAAACGATGATTGACATAAATTATACTCATGAAACGGTTAATCGTACCAAAAACTTTGTGGATCCAACGACTGGAGCTCGTACACAGACCATCGAATCTCTTTGGCATGTCTACAAGATGCAAAATAAATGCTAATGTGGCACACACCGGTCTTTAGTGGACAGCTACTTGTGTGATTTCGTTTAAAGGCAAATTTCATATCCTCTTTTTTCTAGTCTTTTTGGGTGGCGGAGGTTAACTTTTCGGCGGGGCTTATCTAGGACAGATCCGTTTCAAGGCCGAAATTAATAAGCTTAGGAAAGTGACTCACTCGGGTAGAGTATTTTGCCTAGTTTATTGGATGGTGCACTGTAGGGAATTGGGTGGACAGCTACTTGTGTGATTTCGTTTAAAGGCAAATTTCATATCCTCTTTTTTCTAGTCTTTTTGGGTGGCGGAGGTTAACTTTTCGGCGGGGCTTATCTAGGACAGATCCGTTTCAAGGCCGAAATTAATAAGCTTAGGAAAGTGACTCACTCGGGTAGAGTATTTTGCCTAGTTTATTGGATGGTTGTAGGTAGGGAATTGGGTGAGTTTGAGGTCTATACCACCAGCATCAGAAGCCCTAACCAGGACTAGTGGTCGTATTTCAGTGAGCATTGACTGTCCGACCTGAGTACCTGGACGAAGCATGCTTGGAAGCATACTATAACCCTTGGTTATGAAGTTAACCGGGTCGAATCTGCTAACAGGTGCATGTTACATTAAGTGGTAACTAACTGAAACTTCCCGGTTGCTCACCTGTGTTCGGAACATTATCGATAGGAACAAGCAATTGGAAGCCATATGCAGAAGACGGGTTAGAGTCCCACTTGTGTGTTGCCGTCCGAAATGTGTGGAGTTTCTGCCTCATTTGGAGTGTTAGGGCCTGCTAACGCCATAGGCCCAGGAACGGGTTTGTCGAAACCATAGAAAAATTGTTGAATTGGGCCCGCAGCACAACCATACTTTATTTTTCACGACGGTAACAAGCTACAAATTGGAGAACCCGT